CCCCCCCCGATCTCCCATTATATCAAGCATAGGTCATTATCATAATTATCATGATCATTATTAGTTTTACGTTCTATCTCTTTCTATGTAACTTCATCTTCTCTCTATCTAATTATCTACCTTTCTCTTCTCTCTATCTATTTATCTACCTTTCCCTTCTTTCTATCTATATATCTACCTTTCCCTTCTCTCTATCTATCTACCTTTCTCTTCTCTCTCTATCAATCTATCTATCTTATTCTTCTCTTTCTATCAATCTATCTACCTTTCTCTTCTCTCTATCAATCTATCTACCTTTCTCTTCTATCTATCTATCTACCTTTCTCTTTTCTCTATCTATCTATACCTTTCTCTTTTCTCTATCTAACTACCTTTCTCTACTCTCTCTATCAATCTATCTACCTTTCTCTTCTCTCTCTCTATCTACCTTTCCCTTCTCTCTCTCTATCTATCTACCTTTCTCTTCTCTCTCTATCAATCTATCTATCTTTTCCTTCTCTTTCTATCAATTTGTCTTACCCATGCATCTTCCTTATACGATCAAACTTGCTTTAATTAATCTTGTTACTGTTGAACTTGTGGTGATTAACCTTGTTATTGTTGAACTTTTGGTAAGTAATATTGTTAATGATGAACATGGAATTGTTAACCCAGTACAGTTAATCTTTTGATGGTTTGCTTAATAAATGGTTACTTAAGCTAATTATATAAGTCGAATTTTCACTCATTTAACCTTGTGGTGGTTGATTTCTGATTATTAAACTAGCTGTTAATTTTGTCAATATTTTGTCTGTTCAACCTCGGGATTATTGGTCTTATTGTTATTAATTTTAAGGTTATTGTCCTTGATTGTAAACTTTGTGATTTGGCCTTGCGAATGTTGACATGGTATTCTGGAAAATTCAATTAATAACTGGTTGTTATTTTCTATTATCATTAATACTCGACCCTGAGTTAATGAAGCATCTATTAAATTCTTATCCTTAACTATTTACTATGTAACTTTCAATCTTATTATTGCTATTGTTATTGGTGTTGACCTTTTACTGTTATATTTGGTACTGTTTACCGTTGTATTTAGTACCATAATGGTAGTCTGGCAGTTGTTAATCTTTTGATTGTTCAGATTGAA